TGTGTCTGCTCCCCTCTCCCTCGCTCTCATCAAGCCTGTGAGCCCGTCGCGGGCAGGGACCCAGCCTCCGTCTGTCTCGCAGCCCCCGGCCCCGGGGCAGGCTGGCCGGAGGGCGCGAAGCTGCTTGCAGGGGCGCGTCCCGGTCTCGGAAGCGGAGGAGCCCAGCGCAGAGGAGGCGCCGGCGTTGTCTGGTATGGTTGCTGCAGCTGGTGTTGTGAATCAGGCCGACGAGCAGCGCATCCTCTTACCCGGCTATTTCACGACACCAGGGTTGCATCATACCCATCCTCTCCAGGCGAGCCTCGCGGGAGCGGCGCCACACCACGCGCGGGCGGCGGGCTGGCGAGTGGGCCTGGGAGAGGTCCTCGGGGCCCACTCCTCCCGATCTCCTGCCCTCGGCCCTCTGCCCCCGGGGCCGGGGCTTGGAACAGGCATCTGTGACGGGCGCCCATGTGATGCTCAGAGCTGAGGTGGTCGTCTGTTCCTGCCCCTCGCCCGGCCCCCTCACTTCTCTCTGCCTCATCCACTGCACCCACCAGCCTTCCTGCTGGTCCCCGTCAAGGTGCGGCATTCAAGGCCCTTCCTTCAGGGTTCCCTGCTCATAAACCTGGCCGCCGTACCCCCCCAGAATCCTCCCTGCCCCCTCCTTCCTCCGAACCCCTGTCCCACACGGATCCACGGGCTGCCCTTCCCACCAGCCTGCCGCCACCAGCACCCCGGGGTGGCCTCCGAGTGGTCCTGCCTGACCCTTGCCTCTATGGCCAGGAAATCCTTGAAAAAAAAAAAAAACAGGAATCTCCCTGTCCCATGATAGAACAAAGAGCTTCTCATCCCGGCCTGGGAGCCGGTTCCCTCTCCTTGTCCTGAACCCCTTCTCTTCGGTCCCTCTGCTCCAGCCAAAGGGGCCCCTGTGCTGGTCTTGAAGCCCAAGCCACACTCCTGTCACAGGGCCACTGCACATCCGCTCCCCTCTGTCTGGAACCCACGACCCACAGCTGCTCACACGTGGCGGCTGCTTCTCGTGGTTGGTGCTCAGCTCCATTTCCTCACTGTAGGAGGCCCGATGCCCGGCCTAGGGGAAGCCTTGTGTTCTTGAAGGCCTCGGCGTGTCCTGACTAGTGCTCGGTTACGTACGCTCTGTCTCTCCCGCTAGAATGTGAGCTCCAGGAGGGCAGGGCCCTGCTCGTGTTCCCTGCGGTGCCTCCGTGGCATGCAGTAGGCGCTCAATAAATGTGGTGGACTGAGAAAACAGACCCCTTTCAGCCTCATCTCCCACAATTTCTTCCCTCCTGCCCCCATGCCACAGCATCCAGCCCCACCCACCCCTGCCCTTGCACTTGACCACGGCCTTTTCAGCACCTTCCTTCGCACCCCCATCCTTTCCCACCCATCCCCCCTCCCTGCTCCTCTGGTGCTGGCCAGATGCCCGACCCCCTGCTGGTCTGTCACAAGGACATCTGCGCCAGGTGCAGCGCTGGGCCCACGGGAGGGGCCCACAATGAATGCAGACGGACTAGCCTCGATGGCAGACAGCCCCTCCCGGCCCCTCCATGACCACCCCTGCGTCTGGGTTTCCACTCCTGGGGAAAACCAGGCCCCCGGGTCTCTCTGGGTTCCTGTGCTGCCCCTGTTGTCCCTGCTCCTGAGAGCCAGGGGCCCCCCCTTGGGTATGCAAGAGCTGCCCCCTCACCCCACCCACCCCGGACCTCCGCCCGGAGTGTCTTCTCGGCTTTGCTGCCTCCGCTGCTGAGCTTGCCCAGTCTCTGCAGAACTGAGACTCCCGGAGGCCATGCCCACCCCGAGGGCTTAGCTTGGGGCACTCCCAGAAGGCAGGGACTCTGTGTGACCCAGCACCATGCCCCCATCAAGAAGAGCACCGCTGTGAGCCTTTCTCAAGGCATCAGACTCCACCCAAACGCGAGAAGCTCCTTCCTGGGGGTTTGCGCCCCGGACAAGGGTGTGACGGGCCCCTCCAGCACCCCGCGCCACACCCGGAGGGCCGACACAGGCAGGCACGGGTGGGGCTCAGGGAGAGGAGGAAGTGACTGCCAAGGTCACGCAGCACATCCTGAGCCCCAACTCTACCCCCAGCCCCCAGGCTGCGGGAAGCCAGCACTGGCCCCTTCCGGCCCCCTCCTTTCATCAGATCTTAATCAGGAATTTTCCACGGCCGCCCGGGGCCACGCAGTAGGAAGGTGTTGGGGTGGCCATTTGCCAGGCGGAGCGATAAGATCTGCGGAGGGAATGAGCAAGCACGGCAGCGGGGAGCCTGCCCGGAAGGTGGAGAGTGGGCCAGGGCCGGGGTCGGCACCCTGTGGGGCGCCCGGCATGGCCCCCCTCCCCCGTCATGAAGAGCCCTGAGGGGTCTCTTGTACAAAGCTAATTGCACATGGTAAATCAAGTTGGCCAAAAACCGTTCACAGGGATCACGACCTTTTGGGGTGGCCACGGAGGTCTGGTTCTCCTCAGCTCCCCTCGTGACGTCCAATCCGGGCGGGGGGAGGGGCCCCTGTGGAGCGGCGCCTCGCGTTGTCCCGTGTCCAGCCTCAGCGTCCCCGGAGCACCTGCTCTGGCTCCTGCCCTTGCCTGGGATTGCCCCTGCGCCTCTGGGCTTCCATTCTAGAAAGTGGGTGACACTGAGGTGTGAAAGCGTGTCCGTGGTTGTGTGGGGCTCCGGGCCCCTCCTCCCAACAGAACTCGCCGCAGTGACACAGAGGGCGTTCCCGCCCACCCTCTTCTACCCGTCCCCAGGACCGGGACCCTCCAGACAGGGAGCAGGGGGCAGGCAGTGTTCCCGAAACCTGTGCTGGCTCCCTGGGGGAGCTTACAGAGCCTTGAGGTCCTCTGGTGACCCGGTGAGCCCCGAGTCCTGAGCCTGAGAGGCAGGGTGAGGGAGAGAGAGGAAATGTGTCCCTCCATGTCCCCCCCCTCCGAGGGTGATGGGACATTGGAAACCCCAGCATACGCCCTGCTCACATGCCCAGAGCTGGCAGTGGCTTTCTGGCCTCTGTCTATCCCTGGCTTCCAGAAGGAGCAGAGGTCCCCTCCTCCAGGAAGCCTTCCTTGGCTATCTGCGCATCCTCACCACAGCAGGGTGATGGTTCCACGTTCACCTCCCCTCACTCAGTGTGAGCGCAAGTGCCACCATCTGTGGCCCTGGCTCCTGCTCTACCCAGTGTGGTGGTGGTCGGGAAAGGTTTGATAAGTGGCTGAAAGATTTTGGAAAAGTCAGCAGAGTGACAGGTCAGCACCAGGCCATCCCACACCCGGAAGCAGAGTCCGAGGGGCTGATGTGCCTTAGGGAGCCTCTTGGGGTCAGCACCTGTGGGCAGAAGGGAAGAGGCAGGACTGGGCGGTGGGAGACGTGGGCTTAGGTGGAGACTGGATGCTTCAGATGGCCCAGGGGCGCGCTGGGGCTGGGGTGGCCCCTCACATCCGGTGTCCTCCATGGCTGCCCTTGGAGAAGAGGTGGCCGGGATGAAACCATCGCCATGGGGACTGAGGCTGAGAGCCCTCGCAGCAGCATGTGTGTGTGTGTGGTGTGTAATGTGTATGTGTGTGTGTGCTGTGTGTGTGTGCTGTGTGTGGTGTGTGTGTGTGGTGTGTGGGGTGTGTAGTGTGTGTGTGGGGGTGTGTGTGTAGTGTGTGTGTGTGTGGTGTGTGGGGTGTATAGTGTGTGTGTGGGGTGTGTAGTGTGTGTGTGTGGTGTGTGGTGTGTGTGTGGGGTGTGTGGGGTGTGTGTGTGGTGTGTGTGTGGTGTGTGTAGTGTGTGGGGTGTGTAGTGTGTGTGGGGGGGTGTGTGTGGGGGGGGTGTAGTGTGTGTGTGGTGTGTGTGGGGTGTGTGGGGTGTGTAGTGCGTGTGTGTGGTGTGTGTGTATGTGTGTGTGATGTGTGTGTAATGTGTCTGGTGTGTCTGGTGTGTGTGGGGTGTGGCGTGTCTGATGTGTGTATGTGTGTGGTGTGTGTGTATATGTATGTGATGTGTGTAATGTGTCTGTGGTGTGTGTGGGGTATGGTGTGGGGTGTGTGTAATGTGTGTGTGGTGTGTGGGGAGTGTGTGGGGGGTGTGTGGTGTGTCTGATGTGTGTATGTGTGTGGTGTGTGTATGTATGTGTGGTGTGTGTATATGTGTGGTGTGTATGTGTGTGGTGTGTGTGTGGTGTGTGTGTGGTATGTCC